CTAAGACAGTGGGCCTCCCTTTTGACACAACTTATCCATTGGCGCCCCCCACCTCCCAAACACGCACGCGCACACACACACACACACACACACACACACACACACACACACACACACACACACAAATATATATATATATATATATATATATATATATATATATATATACACAGTATATATAAAGACACAGACAGATGTCAGACTGTTAACTCACTTTTATCATCATTTGCATGAAAGTGCAATTATTTACAGAGTAATAACAAGTATTTTAATATAATGTTTTTAAAACTAGGATGATGGTTCAATATGAATAGAACAGATCCAAGAACTGTTCATCCCAGTCAAAACAGTCGAAGTTTAGCGGGTCTCATGCTGTCATTAGCCAAAATATGTTGACAAACCACACTTAAAGGTCGTGGTTCATCAGCTGGTCCTGTCCACGTAAATCCTAAACTCAAATGCTGATAATCATATCGTCGTCTTTTGGGTTTAAGCCCTGAACTTGAAGGCTTTGAATCGGGGGGTCTCAGAAACCGATCCATTGTATTAGCAGGCGTATACCTGTATTGGCACTGGCAGGCTTGCCAAACAGAAGCGAATTCACAGCTATGGCCTTCTGGGTAAAAAAGTTTTTCTTATTTTTGACGTATTATTTTTTTTAGCTTTGTTTAATTAAAACGTTTAAATATAATAAAAAATGCATATAATAATTAAACTTAATAATTTTATTTTTATTATATAATATTTTCCCGCGCCTCCCCTGACATGCTCTGGCGCCCCCCAGGGGAGGCGCGCCTCACACTTTGAAAACCCCTGATCTAAGTATACTCAAATGTGCTATTTTGAGACACTATGAAATTGAACTAAAATGTGCTTTAACATATACTATATCTGTATGTTAAAAAATACATTGTTGCAACCAGAAATACACTTGAACCCTACTTTTAAACATTTATAAATGTATTTGACTAATTTAAAGTATATAATAGTAATATATTAAAAGAATATACAAATTGTAAAAAAAAAAAAGTGTGCTAAATACTGTATTAAAAGTATTTGGGGAAAAATGTACTATTACTACAATACATTACTAATAGATTTTTAATAAAGTCAATTTAATGTAAACTTAAAATTACCACACTCAAAATCAATTTAAGTGTTAGTGATAATATTGCATTCACTTAAGTACAACTTTTGGAAAAATGTACTTCTACTACAATACATTACTAATAGATTTTTTATATATTAACTTATTTTAAGCTTAGGATTAGTATGTAAACAGTGTACTAAAAATCAACTAATGTTTAAAGCATTTAAAGCTGACTAATAAAACTGTTTTGGATGCTTTTTCTGTAGTGTACTTTAGGTATTACTGGTATTTAGTATACTTTTGTCAAGTTTACTAAAGTCCTACTGAAGTATAAACATACTTTTAATTAGTATATTTATAGTGTAAAACCATCAAACTTATTTAACACAAAAAAATAACTATTTACTAAAGATGTATTTGCGATTATTTAAGTGTATTTTAATTGCATTTAATTATATATTTTTTCACCTGGGAAGTCTAGATCAGATATGCGGCCGGTCAGAAGTGCGATATGCACATTAATACAGCAGCAGTTTTAAAATGACACTATAACAATAATATTTTTACAGTACTGTGATGGTTGGGTTTATGGTTGAGGTGGGGATAGGCAGTATAAAATACAATTTATTGGGTAATTTGATAGATAACATAAATAATACTTGGTATAACTACTGTTTTTACAGTGCTGTGACGGTTGGGTTTAGGGTTGGGGTGGGGGAAGACGTTAATAAAATACAATAAATGGGAAATTCAATAAATAATTCTCGTTAACTTCCGGCTGCATCCACATCCGATCTAGCAACAACCCTGTAGTTTCATTGTAGTCTGCTCCCTTTGATGACGAATGTGTAAAGGCGTGTGGTTGGACTGGAGGTCAGGTGATACCGTTTGTTATTGGTGGGTTGATCACATGACATTGCATTTTCACTGTCACTCATGAATATTTTATTAAAATGCAGGAAATGGTTTAACATTTCTTTGTCTTAATGGACCACTAGTTCTCAAAACTGTCTCATGGTGAGGCCGTCTTAAACAGAGTTCAATTAAAACATATAATTTAAAAAGAAAATTATAAAATCAATAAATACCTCACGCTTAATTTTACAAGTATATGTTTTAGCAAATGGCAATCATTCTTCCATCCATATATGTCTGAACATCACAAGATCTTTATATATTTTTTGAATGAACACCTGATGCGACATTAATAAACAGCACTATAGGCGAATTACTGGTTTATAAACAATGATGCGCGCTCATCAAGGTTGCAGAAAAACAGTGAGGGAATGACATTCAATGTGGTCCAGAGTTTGTTTTTGTCTTAGAAATAAGATATATTGATTACATATTATACAATATATATAAAATATTAGCAAAAGTAACGTTAAAGTCTGACGGGTCTATTTGCGATAGCACTCTCCCAATGGATTTTAGATAAGATGAAATGACCAAGCATCCAGCCAGAAATGTACAACGATCTTATTAAAACTCCAAGAGAATTTAACAAGAGAGAAGTTAAAGGCCTAAAAGTCTTTGGATGCCAGCAGTTTTGTTCTGTGTGGTCGCGTGCAAGAAATAATGTCCCATGATTACCAAATTTAAAATATGTAGTGCTAAAAAACGAGGTTCTGCCTAGCCAAGGACAAAGAAAGAAGACAGAACTGTACAAGGCCTGAGTAATCATCAACAAGCAAAACAACTGCATTCTGACAGCGAACTACACCTGTACTGCAGGGTACGTGAACTTGCATGTTTACATTTCATTCTAAGCATTCAGTGTCCGCCGTTTAATTCACCATCTGTAACAGCCTTTGCTGCAATCATTGCTGCAATCAACGAGTAATGTGTATGATTCAGCATAGCGTGAACTTACCTGATATAAAATGAGAACTGCAGTCATTTTTAATTAGGTCCTCACTCTATTCAGCTCTTCAGATGGCTGTTAGCCAAAGACCTCTGCGGTTGGCATTAAAAGCATTGTGTTGTATGGTAAAATTAAATTTTTCTATTTTTGGACTTTCGATTTTGGCATCTTACCGCACACAACATGACATGTTTGCTATTGCATCTGGTCTTTTTTTGCAACAAGTATGCGCTGTTGAACCCGTTTGACATCATGTGTGACGTAGGTTGGTAAGTCCCCTACATGAAAATTAGTGTCCAATGATTAAGATGAATCACTCTCACGCTGTTTGCATATTATAACATGTCACCGACTCGGTCCCAGTCATTCCCCTTGCTGGCCAGCAGAGGCCGCCATCCCCAGACTTCTAAGCATTACATCATCCACCTAGACTGATTGTGCACACACCTGATCTAAATCCAGTTAACGACCCACGCTCCCTATATAAGCCACACTCAAACACCAGCTCATTGCGAAGTCTTGTTCAGCCATGGCCCACATTTCTGAGTGTTAGTCCCTGCCTGATCTTCTGTGCGTTACCCTGGACTGTTTCTGACTCTGAATTGCCTTCTGCCTGCCCTTGACCCACCCTTGTTATATGGACTCTAAACCACGCTGCCTGCCTACGACCCACGCTTGTTATATGGACTCTAAACCACGCTGCCTGCCTACGACCCACGCTTGTTATACGGACTCTGAACCACGCTGCCTGCCACTGATCCATGCCTGGTAAGACACTCTGTGTCTGTCAGCTGCCAGCCCCACGATCTATATTGAATACTGTTGATGTTCGCACTTTAGTGCGTGTTGTATGTTTGTGATTGAACTGTGTCTATTAAATACTGCAAAATGGATCCCTCCGTGTCAGTCTCCTCGTTACAAACAAGATTTTCTTTTTTTTTTGTCACACTATAAGATATACTATAAGTGATCTCTTACATTTTATTAAACATCATACTTAATACTACATAGCAATTTTTACTGCCTATTTGTCTACAACCCATATCAAGGATTCCAGCTACTGCCCCCACCAAAAACATTTAGTTATATACTTATTTCTTAGCCACATATGTAAAATGAGACAAAACACAACTAATACATGCATTCAGTTTTATTGAACATCAATTATATAAAAACAAGTGACATTCTGTAACAATTAAGAAAACAAAAAATCATATAAACAAATACACCGTAAGCTCTTTTTAACACTTCTGCATAGTGTTTCACTCTGACTCCTCAGTTCTTTCCTCAATGAAAAACTATGAATGAGGAAAAGTGCAATAATGCACTTCCAGTTAAGCTGAAAATAGCCAATCATCAGTCTTATTAGCCATTCTGTTATGTAGGGGAAGGGGATCTGTGCAGATTTTCTTGACAGGATAAGTTATGTCATTTGGAAAATACTTTGTGTTTGTGTGTATTTTGACAGAAATATAACTTGGAATTCCCCAGTGTGTGTATTACTGAATCTTCATCTGTGTTCTGCTGTATTGTGTTCTTGATGAAGGCTTGAGATAGAAGGTTCTGTGTGAGTCTAGTCCAGTTAATTTAATCTTTCTGATGTGTATATATATATATATTTTTTTTTTTTTTTTCAATATTTTGCCTTTAAATCAGGGGTGCCCAAACTTGGTCCTGGAGGGCCGGTGTCCTGAAGAGTTTAGCTCCAACGCCAATTAGACACACCTGACCCAGTTAATCTAGCTCTTCTTGGTCATGCTAGAAGTTTCCAGGTAGGTCTCTGGGTTTGGGGAGCCCTGCTCTAAATTAAAAGAGAATAGGATTTTTGTGTGTCCTTTTTGTTACCTATCCCCTCCCCAAATATGCACTTTTAAAATAGTTTGTAACAGTAAACTCACTAGGAATTGTGGCCAATCAAACACAGTCTGGGGTGTGCATGTTAATGATCCTGTGTGCAACATAGCAGTCTGTATTTTGTTCTGATCTGCTTGTTTTTTTTAACCGGGATTTTTCACTCAGGATTTACTTGAGAAAGAGGAAACACCGGTGTGTGTGTGGCTCTTGGTGTGTCCATTTCCATCTACTACACTCTTATTATTTAGCTAATATTATTATTTAATACAAATTTCCCTGTTGAAGGTCATCCCACCGATGTGCAGCTCTGCCAGCCCCAACCAAGCAAGCCAGAGGCGACAGTGGCAAGGAACCAAACTCCACCTATTTAGGTGGAGAAAAAACCTTGGGAGAAACCAGGCTCGGTCGGGGGACCAGTTCTCCTCTGGACAAAACTAAAGGCAGAGCTGCAGTTTGGATGTCGGAGAGGGTCGGGAACAGTGGAGTCCTGTTTTTCCTGGCTATACTTTGTTATGTTCCTAGTGAAGAGAAAATAAAACAGAAAATTTGTTATATGCATAGAAGAAGGACCTCAATGAGGAAATTTCATTGAATGATTGTAGAAAAGCCTGTAGAGAGGCTCAGACACAAATTGTGAACACAAGATTGTAAATAATAAAATATAACTGGCTAATAAGAGTTCATAGATCTCCAATATTACAAAATATTGTGGATAAAAGTGGTGTAAAGTAACTTTGTCATGATTTAGTGAAAAATGTTGTGTAAGTCTCACCTGTTTCTGCATGTTGTGTGTGTGCTCGGGTCTGTGAGCAGTGTGGTGAAGAAGGGGATGATGGGAACTGCTCAGAGGGACACAATTCACTCTCCTTCAGCTCCGCATTTTCTCTGACCTCATTGAAGGTGTACGTCTTTATGATCTTCCCATTCCTAAACACAGTCTGGAGCAAGTCTTCTCCGTACTCCCCCAGACTGCCGCTTCCCTCTTCCAGTGTCACCAGACTTCCACTGGGTGTCCTGTGAAGGGAAAGCCGGCCTTTCTTTGACTTTTTAGTGGGGTCTGCAATGGGGTCTTTAAAGACGTTTATGGGCACCCCGTTCGTCACCGCATAACTGCACTTAAAGCAGCAGCTGAGCATATCTCGGTTCAGTTTCTGCAGCAAAGCTCCTCCTGAACCAAAGCCGATGTTCTCAATGCTCCATCCGTGCTTTTTTATGCCCTCTAAGATGTCCTGTAAAGAGTCTATGTCGATGCCATCCCCCTGGATGACTCTGATGTAGGGGGGCAGCACCTTATAGCCTTTGGAGTTCTCGAGCGGAGGGAACTTCTCTCCTAGGATCTCGAGCACTCTCAGAACTGTTTCTAGAGGGTCTCCTGAATCGGGTCGGACCACCAGCGGGGCGTCAGCGCTACGCATCTCCACCAGAGACCTCAGTTCTTCGCCCCAGATCTTCTCGCAGGCATTGTAGATGTCGTAGCTGTCACTGACCACAGATACAGGGACGGATGGGAACATCCTGACAATGTGTTCAAAAGCGTCCTTCTCGTGGTCCTTTCCCCAGGCTGTGATTGTGCTGTGCTCTGCGGCTGGCACCGAGAAACCAGCAACTGGCTCTTTAGTGCCGTAATATTTCTTGATGAGTCTGATCCCAGCCATGGTGTCTGTTCCTTTGAAGTTCACCAAGTGTGCAGATCCACCGATTCCAGCTGTTTCCTGAGATGAAACTCCTCTGTAGCCGAAATCGTGCAGCTTATATTCAAGCCCGTCCAGGCTTCCAGAGGTTTCCATCAGATATTTGGCCAGAATCTTCTTTTGCTCTCGCGAGTTGGTCGCGACAGTGATAGGATACCAGATCTGCAGAAGAATTGTCTCTATCCAGTTAGTCAGCCAGTAGCACTCATCATCTGTGTTTTCCACAGTGAATAGCACGTTTCCACGCGGGATTACACTTCCCTCTGGCACAGCCTTGATCTCGATAGGCAGATGGCCGTTGTACTTCTCCAGAATGTAATTCCATCCTTTCTCATTGAACATGTCGTCATGAAAGTGTTCCCGGTACACTTCCTTTGCTTCCTGAATCTTCTCCAGAGTGACGACCTGTCCTTTAAAGTACTTGTGGAGAACATACTGAAGTCCATAGAAGACCGTCGTGTCATATCTGATTTTCCTGGGTTTGTTGGGGTTGGCCTTCTTCTCACGGCACTCAAAGTAAGAGTACATCTTACTAGTGTTGGGCGGGTATTGGTTGTAATGTGTCACCTTGTAGGAGTCAGTGGCTAACAAGATGTTAAAGTCAGCATCTTCTTTATGCCTTCCTGAGTCCTCTGAAGCAGAGCTAGCCTGAGAGACATCGTCAGTCTCAGAGAAAGTGTCCAACACAGGAACTCTATCAATCTGAGAGACAGCGTCAATCTCAGAGAAAGTTTCTTTTGCAGAAACACTCTCAATCTGAGAAATCGGGTTGGTCTCAGAGGCAGTCTTAGACACTGTGACAGAAGAAGAAAAGACAGAAAAAATTGATCAGTATGCAGGTTTTTCAATAGTCTCTGGATTCATCATTGCATAAACCAAAAACTGAATAATTCCATACCTTTGAAAGCTGGACTCGCTCTGAATATAGCGTCTTCTTCCTCATCAAGAACAACTGCAAGTCCTGGAGAAGATAATATACAGCATTTAACAAAATGTCAAAAAGAACTAAAGAACAATTTAAGTCAAATTCAGTTGCTTTCCTATTGCACCAACCTTGATATTTAGAGTAACGTTGAACCAGTCTTCTTGTGTTTGTAGGGTCAGCCTTCTTGTGACACTCAGAGTACATCCTACTTGTGTTGTTGGGTGGGTGTTTGTTGTAATGTGTGACAGAGTCAATCTCAGAGAAAGTGTCCATGATAGGAACTCTATCGATCTGAGAGACAGTGTCAGTTTCAAAACAGGTGTCCATTGGAGGAACACCAACAGTTGAAGAGACATCATCAATCTCAGAGAAAGTGTCCACTGGCGCAACACCTTCAACCACAGAGACGCCGTCATTCTCAGAGAAAGTATCTTTTGGAGAAACACTCTCAATCTGAGAAATCTGGTTGGTCTCAGAGGCAGTCTTAGACACTATGGCAAAAGAAGATAAGACAGAAAAAACATTATCAGTATGCTGGTTAGTCAATAGTCTCTGGATTCATCATTGCATAAACCAAAACCTAAATAATTCCATACCTTTGAAAGCTGGACTCGCCCTGAATAGAGCATCTTCTTCCTCATCAAGAACAAATGCAAGTCCTGGAGAAGATAACATACAGCATTCAGTAAAATGTAAAAAAGGACAATTAAAGAACAATTTAATTCAGATTTGGTTGCTTCCCTATTGCGTTTACCTTGATATTCAGAAAAACGCTGAATCAGTCTTCTTGTGTTTGTAGGGTCAGCCTTCTTCTTGCGATACTCGAAGTAAGAGTACATCTTACTTGTGTTGGGTGGGTATTGGTTGTGATGTGTGACAGAGTCAATCTCAGAGAAAGTGTCCAAAATAGGAACTCTATCAATCTGAGAGACAGTGTCCGTCTCAGAGACAGTGTGCGTTGAAGGCACACCATCAATCTGAGAGACAGCTTCAGTTTCATAAAAGGTGTCCATTGGAGGAACACCAACAGTTGGAGAGACATCATCAGTCTCAGAGAAAGTGTCCACTGGAGCAACACCTTCAATCTGAGAGAAAGAGTCAATCTCAGAGAAGGTGTCCATCACAGAGACACGGTTTGTCGGAAAGGAGGTGTCAGTCTCAGAGCAAAGAAACCTCTCAGAGACACCATCACTCTCATGTAGGAAAACTACCACAGAGACACCGTCATTCCCAGAGAAAGTGTCTTTTGGAGAAACACTCTCGACCTGAGAAATCTGGTTATTCTCAGAGGCAGTCTTAGACACTGTGGCAAAAGAAGAAAAGACAGTAAAAAACATTATCAGCATGCTGGTTAGTTGATAAATTAGTTGATTGCTCTAAGTAAAAATAAAATTCTTTAGTTAGGGCTGGGCGATAAATTGATTTTATAAATTAACTAGACTGTGTAGTTAACATCGATATGTTTGAATGAAAATCGTTTTTCACTCAAAACACATGTAACGCTTCTCACTGGGATTATGCACATTGCCATAAACACACAACATGGCAAAGAGCAGGGGAGAACTCTGGCTTTTTCTCAATTCTATAGAGAACAAACTAGGTTACCTCAGAAGAACGAACTCAGAAATCCACAAGAACACAGAACGTGTCCTCTGAGAAATGAGATGTTGCATTTTTCCTGCATTATAACCTTTTTTACTTGTTGGATTAATCTAAATTTGTAACAATCGATTCCTGAATCATTCGAATCACATGTATGAAAACATTTTGTCAACCCTGTTTAATATTTAATGATGACGGGAAACGTTGTGGAGGCACCTAAATGTTTTCTTCAGGGTTTCACTAAGTGATATTTAAGACTTTTTAAGACCATTATGATTTAAATTTTAGACTTATACAGAGCTAAATGCTCAGGGAATCTTCTTTTTGAATATCCAAATTGGAAAAGATTTTCACTTGATCTTTTGAAAGAAATATTATTATCACTTAAGTGATTGTAACTTAATATTGCAATAATAATAATTTATTAACAAAAATATATGTCAGGTCAGTAGTAGTCCTCAATAGTAAATAAATGGAGAACTTTTAGGCAAATGTTACTGTAAGGAAAGTAGTTAAATGCTATTTTTAAATACAAAGCCTATTTGAGATTAGGATTGGTGGTGAATGTATGGGTGTTAATGGCCAATTTGACAAGCTATACATGAACAAAGGAAAATTATGATCTGTTAAAAAAGAATTAAGACCTACAGCATAATATTTCAGTAGATTTAAGACTTTTAAAGGCCTAAAATTTATCTTTTGAGATTTAAGACGTTTTAAGATCCCTCGGATACCCTGTTTCTCAGGTTATTAAAGTTGTCTTCTGTCACTACTTGTACACATTCAGTGTATCGCTGCACAATTAATCATTTAAACATTGATATCTCAATTTAAACACCTATGCAATATAAATTGTAAAATTTGATGATTTGTATATGTTTAGTAATCCTTCGTTGCTCAGCATTCAAATCTGCTTTTGATGGACGCCGAGTTTCAGTTTTTACCATTTTCATGTACAAAGTACTGGAATAACAGTTTATAGGTCACATATAAACACTGACGTTTATGGTAAAGATTAAAATCACAGTTTGACCACCAATATATGCTTTTAACTTGACGATCAAAAAGGAAAGTTGCAGCAATTACATTGTTTAACCAATAGGTGGAGACAACCAGTGGTCAAAATATGCCACTGAATAATTAAAATCATGCCACTGAATAAGTAATATGATACATCTAGAAATGAAACATGAAGTTTTTTGAAAGAGTGCCTGACCCATTAATTGAAAATGAGACTTAAATTAAATACGACATAGTGTACAAATTATAATGTTAGATTTATATATTTAGCATTTTCAGCAACAGCAGCAAAGATCATTTTTCATAGTACTGATTATTTTACTATTTATATTTATTCAGATGGTTATTTTTATATATTTATTTTTCAAGTTATGTTTGCTAAACAGATTTATTGATATAAAAAAGGTCATATAATTTATTTACAATGCAGTTTGTAAAGTAATATTTTCTGTCTTTTAGTAGAGATATTATATGAGACATTATATGTCCCCTTTTTAACAATTATGAGATTAATTCCTCTGTCATTTTTAAAAATGGTTGAATTCATACTATATTATTTATCAATAAATCTTAGTCTATTTTATTTTTAAATGACAGCAGGTGTTTCAGGAAAAGCACGCTTTATAAGTAATACCATTCAACTAAATTTTTAAGTAGTGGTGCAAAAAAATTGGGGAATTTTAAAAAAGTCCTATCGCCCAGCCCTAATTTCAGTTGTCTGGATTCATCATTACATCAAAAAACAGAAACTGAATAATTTCATACCTTTGAAAGCGGCTGGACTAGCTCTGAATAGAGCGTCCTTCTCCTCATCAAGTACAACTGCAAGTCCTGGAAAAGATAATATACAGTATTCAGCAAAACATGTACATTTCTGCACTCCGTACAGCACATCTGGCTGAGAATATTCACTGTCTGAAAAACAGTTTACTTCAAATACAGTTGCTTACCTTGATATTTGGAGAACCGCTGGAACAATCTTCTTGTGTTGTTGCTGGTCATCATATTTGATTCTGAGGGAGAAAAATATCATTTAGCTTTTCTGAACAAACACCAAAGTCTTAATTTCATCATCTAATGAGTCTTCCACTATGGATGTGCATTCTTCAAAATATCTTCTTTTGTGTTCATCAAGAGGAAGGAAACTCGCAATGTTTTTTTACTGAAGTTTTATAAAATTTACTAAAAGAAGGAAATTTCCATTTCAAAAAAGAGAAATGTGCTGGTAATTTTCTACCAGGACATTCTTTGTATTTTTACAGATTTTTTTCTTACAGTGTAGCTCACAATAAAGTGACATTTAATTTAAACATTAGCACATTATTTATGTAATGTGAGACAATATTAATCTGTGAATAAAAATGTTCCGAAAAAAAAAACAGTAATTCATTGAAAACATTAACAATATAATAATATTATAATATATAATAGTATTAATAAAGTAATACATTTATAAGTAGTAATTTAATAGTAATACACCTAAAACTGTTAGTTTTATATGGGTTGTATACTAGTATTCCACTGTATTACATAGACAGGCATTGCATTTGAGTTCTGAATAAGGCAAATAGGCTTAACCCACCTGTTTACTGTAGTAAAAACTTTTTTTCTATATTCAAGTGTATTTTTTTGTTTCCATGTATTAAATAAATAAACTGCCACTTTTCTAATTAAATGACATACATATACATATTTTAAACTGACAGGCTAATTCCTATATTTCACAATCTGAATCATAATAATAAATGAGTATTTTTTACACTAGTCAACACTTGATGTTTCTACAGTATCTCTGTCAGTGAGTCTGTGAAAGGTAAAACGATTTCTGCCTCCGTTTTCATTTCAAATTTAAAGGAGACTGGGGTGATAATTTAGTATACAGTTTATGAGCTAATTCCAAAAGTTTTAGGGGGGCTGAGTAGAAATATAGGGGGGGCTACAGCCCCTCTAAAATAGGCCTAGCCACGCCCATGATTTATTAAACCTAATGACCTGTCCTCGACGCAAAACGACGAATTTTAAGCTTATATTCGTGACTAATTGGACACTGACGATTGAGTTTACTTCAGTAAAGTACAAAATATATTAAATACATAAAAATAATAAACATACAGTAAATCCTGGATGTGTTTGACTTATTTTGTACAGATATTTTAGCACATTCGCCATTTTCCTACACCACATTTATTTTAAATACAAGTATATAAACCTATAAAGCTTAAAAATGTATGTATACTGAGTTGTACATATGTTTTACCTTGATTCTGGCAGAAATCCATCGGTAGTTCGTTATTTCTCGCCAAATTATCTTGTTTGTAGTTCATCACTGCAATGCAAAACGATTATGAGGCAGTTTGCAAAACAGGCGCTTATACATACGTCAACATTCCAATTTAGAACGTGTTCTAAAAGCCCCGCCCACTCAGGGAGCTGCAGACGCACGTCAACACGCGGCCGCCATAGAACTAACAATATATAGGATTATAGGATAATATATGAAGAGTTTAGAAGCACAAACCTCTAAATGCCATTTGATATTTCTTGTAATATTAGCATTTCTCTCTGATTCTTGTGTAGGCTCAGTATTATTTCTTTTAAAGTGACAAAAAAGCTCTTTTAACTGCCTTGGAAGTTAAATAACTGAGAAAAATGCTCATTTTAAGAGAGAATTACAGATGGCATTAAGAGGTTTTTGCATCTGAACTTTGTATGCAACAGTCATGATGCAGAACATAAAATAAAATACATACATACAAATAGATATGCACACACCAAGATTATTAAAATTTAATCATTGTAAATATACTGATTATTATCGTTTTTATTACTGATTTATCCTAAAATGTTGATTGTTAAATGTACAGTTTATTCTGATTTATTATTTTTGTAGTGATTTGTATGAATAATACATGTTGAATAATATATTGAACATTAATGTGATATATTGAATATTATATATTGAATATGTATTGTTGATATTTAATTATTTATAAATATCTTCCTTTTTTTACACTACTACTATTTACTGTGTTTACTGTTTTTTATTATATATTACGTTTTATGTAAACTTTAGAACTGTTTTGGCAATACATTTGTAACATTCGTCATGCCAATAAAGCAATTATTGGATATATATGTTTAAGGGATCCATCATATTGAAATCATTAGATTTTACAGATTTATTTTTCATTATTAGAGATGTTTTATAGCCTTCTTGTTACTTGTAATTGAGGTCAAAGAATTATAAAATATTTTAAAATATTTACAGAAAAAACTAAAGGAGGAAAACACATTTTTTTTTGCCTTGTGTGAAACTTCCCAGGAAAAATCTGAGGTCAAAGAATATTATTTTATTATAAAATATTTTAATATATTTATAAAATATATAAAATATTTTTATATATTTAATATTATTTAAAATAAAATGTATTTAATTTTATTTATTATTTAAAATAGTATTTAAAAATATTTACAGAAAAAACTAAAGGAGGAAAACACATTACTTTTGCCTTGCTAAATTTACTTTTGCTAAAATTAACAACTGCTAAGCATTATCGAGTGTATCATTGCGAGTTTAACAATTTAAAAAAGAATTGTGCATTCATCAAAGTTAATTATTTAGTAAAATGAAAATTAAACCGGTTTCCAAAAATCATCAGAAAATTTACAAGTACAAAAATAGATGTACAAGTCTTCTAGGCTCAGTGTTACAGAAAGAACGCAGTGGTGAAATGTCTTTTCAAAAAGTATTAATAAACATTTTGCAGGGATAGTAAGATTACCTGTGTAATATTTTAAAATGAATTTCTTTTAGGTGGCGCAGTGGGTAGCGCAGTTTCCTCACAGCGAGAAGGTCGCTGATTCGAGCCTTGGCTGGGTCAGTTGGCATTTCTGTGGCATGTTCTCCCAGTGTTAGCGTGGGTTTCCTCCGAGTGCTCCAGTTTCCTTCACAATCCAGACACATGCAGTATAGGGGAATTGAATAAACTAAATTGGCCGTGTATAGGTGTTTCTCAGTGATGGGTTGCAGCTGGAAGGGCATCCACTGTGTAAAATATATGCTGGATAAGTTGGCGGTTCATTCCGCTGTGGCGACCCCTGATTAGTAAAGAGACTGAGCTGAAAAGAAGAAATGATTGAATTTCTTTTACCTTATTTGACAGTAAAAACTTACTACTTGTAGACCAAATATCATCTATAAAATATAAAGAAAAATATTGCTTCCGTGTCAAAATGGCTTTCGGGAAACAACTATTTTCTGATAGGCTATAAAAGTTATTACACTTTTTATTCAAGATACTGATACCACCAAGAACAGTTTTTGGAATTTGCTTTAAGACTGAGTTATAAGTAAGATGGATTTTCATTAAGTAAAGCAGTTTATTAGATGCTTTTCACAATCAAATTATAATCGTTATGCAAAAAAACAGTCCCTGACAGAGAATTTCCTGATAAATCTCACCACTGCTATTTAGTAAATCTCAAACAAAAATAATTCCCTTGTCAAACCAATCTTTTATAAATATACTTTTGTTTTTATGCAATACATGTTGGTTATTCAATGGAAGCCCATTTCACACATTGTATAATAAAAATATATAACTAAATAAAAAAAAAAATTAAAACTATAAATTCAGAGAAATAAAGTCACAATTCTGAGTAATAAAGTCAGAGTTGTGAAATATAATATCATAATTCTAAGAAATAGTTGCAACTCCGAGTTATAAAATCTGCATTCTGAGTTATAAATTCTACATTCTGAGTTATAAAGTCAGAGGTCTCAGAAATAAAGTTACAATTCCAAGTTAAAGTTTAGTGTTTTTCCCATGCTGATAAACTTCAGGTGACCTGTTATATTGATTTTTTTTCCAATTTATACGGTTCCTTTTACAGCATCGATGTTGTAATGTAATTAAAATACTTTCAGTTAAATAAACTTTGGCATTCATTTAGTTGATCAAGCGTGAAATGAGACAAAAAGCCGTTTACTCGCATGTGCCCGTCAGAATCGGCAGGCTAGCGCAGAAGCTCTATTGAATATACTGGGGTAAAATAAATGTTCATGTTTTAAAGACATGGCGGGAAAAAAATTTATTTAATGCCGAGCTTCTTGTAAAATCTGAGACAAACATATCGGATATAACTCAGCAGGTGGAAAACGATGATTTTTAAAGAAAACAGACCTTAAATGTGCAGATATTTGCATTGGCATACAGTTGACCGGAAGCGATTAACCCAGGTTACTGGCAAATTCAAAGTCCTATTAGCATGCTTCGGCATATACTTTATTCTGAGTTATAAAGTCAAAATTGTGAATTATAAAGTCAAAATTCTAAGAAATAGTCGCAATTCAGAGTGATTAATTCTGCATTCCGAGTTATAAAGTCACAATTGTGAGAAATAAATTCACAATTCTGAGTTATAAAGTCAATTCTGAGGGAAGAAAACCGAAAGTTTAGGATCAACACTGTAAACATTGCAACAGCATGCTGTGGACAACAAACCTCCAGCTGTTGCTGTGATTTCAAAGTGCTGATATGGTGTAAACATCACATAATATCATTTAGTTCAGTTTGATTTAAACAATCAAAAGCATATTAGGCATAAAACAATGCAGTCCTCTGGACACCCTGGTATTGTCTATTATTGTTAACCAGGGATTGAAAGTTTAAAAACTTTTTATTTATATTTTGATTTATTAAGACACGACAACATTGCATATTGCAAATCTACATATTTATATAGAAAATGTGTGTGCGCATGTACAGTATATACATACCGTGCTCCGCATATATGACATACTCACAGATCTCTCATTTAAATTATTATTCTCTACAGGAAGGTATACTATATTATATTTGAGCATGTAGATCAGATTAGTCTGTACTGAAGCCAAATCTGGAGCTTATCTAACAAAAGAACTTATGATACTGGTCCAAATTTGTTTACCCAAATTTTTATGTAAGAGAAAAATATTAAATAAAGAATCTAAAAAGAGCAAAACTCAAGAGAAACAAAAAAATTCGTTAAATTTAGTTGAAATTTAGTTTGTTTGATGCGCCTAATTTTTTTTTAAAGTTAGGAGCACCAGTGCTACCAAGCAAAAAGGTTAATTTCGAGCCTTGTATTAATAACATATTATATATAATATTTGCATAATGCTTTCAGCGTATTATAACAGCTCGTTACCCAGTGATAAGCGGTTATTAGGCAAAATTAACGTTAAAGTGAGTAGAGTTTGTCTGACAGGTCCATCTGCGATAGCACCCTTCCAATGAATATTGGATAAGACAAAATGGCCAAGCATCCAGCCCCAAATATACAACTATCTTATTGAAACTCCCAAGATTTTACAAGAAGTTAAAGGACTAAAAGTCTTAGTATGCCTACAGTTTTGTTGTGTGGTCGTGTGCAAGAAATAATGCTCCATGATTATTACCATATTTAAAATATGTAGTGCTGAAAACCGAGATTCTGCCTAGCCAAGGACAAAGAAAGAAGACAGAACTGTACAAGGCCTCAGTACTCAACAAGCAGAACAACTGCATTGCTGCAATCAACAACGAGTGATGTGTATGATTCAGCATAGCGTCAATTTACCTGATATAAAATGAGAACTGCAGAGTCATTTTTAATTAGGTCTTCACTCCATTCAGTTTTTCTTATGGCTGTTAGCCAAAGACGTCTGCGGTTGGCATTAAAAGCAGTGTGGTGTACGATAAAATTTAAGTTTTTGAACTTTTGATTTTGGCATCCCACCGCACAACACGACATGTTTGCCCGTATGCACGGTTGAACCCGTGTGACATCATGTGTGACAGGTTGGTAAGTCCCTTACATGAAGATTAGTGTCCAACAGTTAAGATAAATCACTCTCTCACGCTGTTTGCATATTATAAAAAGTTTTTCTTCATTTTTTTGTCACACTATAAGATATACCATAAGGGACTTTTTACATTTTATTAAACATCAGACTTCATACTACATAGCAATCTTTACTGCCTATTTGTCAACAACCCATATCAGGGCTCAACGCTAAGGATTTCATCAACTGCCCCCTAAACATTTTGTTATATACTTATTTTTTTGCCACTGTAAGAGCCAAGTATGCATAATTCATTTGTGGTTATAATTTAGTTAAAAAGGTTAAAACATGATGAAAATTGATATTTAAATCTAATAAGAATTCATTGTGATTGTATTATCTAAAATGCATAATTTAATAATTAATACAATTTAGAAACCTTTACTTTGGTATTTTGGCTTCCGCCAGTAATATATCATGAGGTCGTTAGTTCATACGTTTAAGTCAGATTGCAGTTGTGGATGTTGGAAGCAACAGTTTTTTGACCGAGCTGATCGAGTCTATTGAAACATTGTGTATTTTTGTTTGCATTTCTTCAGTAAACCTTTTTTAAAAGAAGAATCGGTCTTACTCGCGTTTTTGCAAATACTAGTTGTTGGAATAGAAGCTACAAAAGGTCGTACATAAGGATTTGCCCAAATGGTGTGCCACTACAGCCACATATGTAAAATAATGAGACAAAACACAACTAATACATGCATACAGTTTTATTGAACATCATTTACATAAAAACAAGTGACATTTCTTAAAAACAGAGAAAACTAAAAAATCATATGAAACACACCGTGACCGCTTTTTAACAATTCTGATTGGTGTTTCACTCTGACTCTTTAGTTCTTTCCACCAGAAAACAATGAATGAGGAAAAGTGCAATGCTACACTTCCAGTTAAGCTGAAAATAGCCAATTGTGAGTCTTATTAGCTACTCTGTTCTCTAGGGGGAGGGAATCTGCAGATTTTCTTGATACGATAAGTTCTGTCATTTGGGAAATACTTTGTGTGTGTGTGTGTGTGTGTGTGTGTGTTTATTTTGACAGAAGTATCACTTGGAATTCCCCAGTGTGTGTATTATCGAATCTTCATGTGTGTTCTGCTGTATTGTGTTCTTGATAAAGGCACACTAGTCGTTTCCAGGTAGGTCTCTGGGTTTGGGGAGCCCTGCTCTTAATAAATAGAGAATAGGATTTTTGTGTGTCCTTTTTGTTACCTATCCCCTCCCCAAATATGCACTTTTAAAATAGAGTTTGTAACAGTAAACTCACTAGGAATTGTGGCCAATCAAACACAGTCTGGGGTGTGCATATTAATAATCCTGTGTGCAACATAGCAGTCTGTATTTTGTTCTGATCTGCTTGGTTTTTTTTTTTGTAACCGGGATTTTTCACTCAGGATTTACTTGAGAAAGAGGAAACACCGGTGTGTGTGTGTGTGTGTGTGTGTGGCTCTTGGTGTGTCCATTTCCATCTACTACACGCTGTTTATTTAGCTAATATTATTATTTAATACAAATGTCCCTGTTGAAGGTCATCCCACCGATGTGCAGCTCTGCCAGCCCCAACCAAGCAAGCCAGAGGCGACAGTGGCAAGGAACCAAACTCCACCTATTTAGGTGGAGAAAAAACCTTGGGAGAAACCAGGCTCGGTCGGGGGACCAGTTCTCCTCTGGACAAAACTAAAGGCAGAGCTGCAGTTTGGATGTCGGAGAGGGTCGGGAACAGTGGAGTCCTGTTTTTCCTGGCTATACTTTGTTATGTTCCTAGTGAAGAGAAATTGAAACAGAAAATAAAACAGAAAAATTTGTTATGAGCATAGAAGAAGGACCTCAATGAGGAAATTTCATTGAATGATTGTAGAGAAGCCTGTAGAGAGGCTCAGACACAAATTGTGAACACAAGATTGTAAATAATACAATATAACTGGCTAATAAGAGTTCATAGATCTCCAATATTACTAAATATTGTGCATAAAAGTTGTGTAAAGTATCTTTGTCATGATTTAGTAAAAAATGTTGTGTAAGTCTCACCTGTTTCTGCATGTTGTGTGTGTGCTCGGGTCTGTGAGCAGTGTGGTGAAGAAGGGGATGATGGGAGCTGCTCAGAGGGACACAATTCACTCTCCTTCAGCTCTGCATTTTCTCTGACCTCATCGAAAGTGTATGTCTTTATGATCTTCGCATTCCTAAACACAGTCTGGAGCAAGTCTTCTCCGTACTCCCCCAGACTGCCGCTTCCCTCTTCCAGTGTCACCAGACCATCACTGGGTGTCCTGTGAAGGGAAAGCCGGCCTTTCTTTGACTTTTTAGTGGGGTCTGCAATGGGGTCTTTAAAGACGTTTATGGGCACCCCATTCGTCACCGCATAACTGCACTTAAAGCAGCAGCTGAGCATATCTCGGTTCAGTTTCTGCAGCAAAGCTCCTCCTGAACCAAAGCTGATGTTCTCAATGCTCCATCCGTGCTTTTTAATGCCCTCTAAGATGTCCTGTAAAGAGTCTATGTCGATGCCATCCCCCTGGATGACTCTGATGTAGGGGGGCAGCACCTTATAGCCTTTGGAGTTCTCGAGCGGAGGGAACATCTCTCCTAGGATCTCGAGCACTCTCAGAACTGTTTCTAGGGGGTCTCCTGAATCGGGTCGGACCACCAGCGGGGCGTCTGCGCTACGCATCTCCACCAGAGACCTCAGTTCTTCGCCCCAGATCTTCTCGGAGGCATTGTAGATGTCGTAGCTGTCACTGACCACAGATACAGGGACGGATGGGAACATCCTGACAATGTGTTCAAAAGCGTCCTTCTCGTGGTCCTTTCCCCAGGCTGTGATCGTGCTGTGCTCTGCGGCTGGCACCGAGAAACCAGCAACTGGCTCTTTAGTGCCGTAATATTTCTTGATGAGTCTGATCCCAGCCATGGTGTCTGTTCCTTTGAAGTTCACCAAGTGTGCAGATCCACCGATTCCAGCTGTTTCCTGAGATGAAACTGCTCTGTAACCGAAATCGTGCAGCTTATATTCAAGCCCGTCCAGGCTTCCAGAGGTTTCCATCAGATATTTGGCCAGAATCTTCTTTTGCTCTCGCGAGTTGGTCGCGACAGTGATAGGATACCAGATGTGCAGAAGAATCGTCTCTATCCAGTTAGTCAGCCAGTAGCACTCATCATCTGTGTTTTCCACAGTGAACAGCACATTTCCACGCGGGATTACACTTCCCTCTGGCACAGCCTTGATCTCAGTGGGAAGATGGATGTTGTACTTCTCCAGAATGTAATTCCATCCTTTCTCATTGAACATGTCATCATGAAAGTGTTCCCGGTACACTTCCTTTGCATCCTGAATCTTCTCCAGTGTGACGACCAATCCTTTAAAGTACTTGTGGAGAACATACTGAAGTCCATAGAAAACCGTCGTGTCATATCTGATTTTCCTGGGTTTGTTGGGGTTGGCCTTCTTCTCACGGCACTCAAAGTACATCTTACTAGTGTTGGGCGGGTATTGGTTGTAATGTGTCACCTTGTAGGAGTCAGTGGCTAACAAGATGTTACAGTCAGCATCTTCTTTATGCCTTCCTGAGTCCTCTGAAGCAGAGCTAGCCTGAGAGACACCGTCAGTCTCAGAGAAAGTGTCCAACACAGGAACTCTATCAATCTGAGAGACAGCGTCAATCTCAGAGAAAGTGTCTTTTACAGAAACACTCTCAATCTGAGAAATCTGGTTGGTCTCAGAAGCAGTCTTAGACACTGTGACAGAAGAAGAAAAGACAGTAAAAATTGATCAGTATGCAGGTTTTTCAATAGTCTCTGGATTCATCATTGCATAAACCAAAAACTGAATAATTCCATACCTTTGAAAGCTGGACTCGCTCTGAATATTGCGTCTTCTTCCTCATCAAGAACAACTGCAAGTCCTGGAGAAGATAATATTCAGCATTTAACAAAATGTCAAAAAGAACTAAAGAACAATTTAAGTCAAATTCAGTTGCTTCCCTATTGCACCAACCTTGATATTTAGAGTAACGTTGAACCAGTCTTCTTGTGTTTGTAGGGTCAGCCTTCTTGTGACACTCAGAGTACATCCTACTTGTGTTGGGTGGGTGTTTGTTGTAATGTGTGACAGAGTCAATCTCAGAGAAAGTGTCCATGATAGAAACTCTATCGATCTGAGAGACAGTGTCAGCCTCAGTCTCAGAGAAAGTGTCCATCACAGGAACTCTATTAATCGGAGAGACAGCGTCCGTCTCAGAGACAGTGTCCGTTGAAGGCACACCAGCAATCTGAGAGAAAGCTTCAGCTTCATAAAAGGTGTCCACTGGAGCAACACCTTCAATCTGAGAGACAGAGTCAATCTCAGAGAAAGTGTCCACACTGTAAAAAAAAAAAAAAGTTGAGTAAACTTAAAATAATAAGGCAACCTATCACACATAGCTTTTTGAGTTAACTCAACAAACAGGGTTTGAAGACCAGTGAACTCAAAATATTTTGTTGAATTCCTTAGTTCTCTGAACAAAAAGTATCATGTTCACCCAACAAGATATTTTTGTTTGCTGAACAAAAAATATCATGTTCACCCAACAAGACATTTTTGTTTGCTGAACAAAAAATATCATGTTAACCCAACAAGATATTTTTGTTTGCTGAACAAAAAATATCATGTTCAACCAACAGGATATTTTTGTTTGCTGAACAAAAAATATAATGTTCAACCAACAGGATATTTTTGTTTGCTGAACAAAAAATGTCATGTTCACCCAACAAGATATTTTTGTTTGCTGAACAAAAAATATCATGTTCACCCAACAAGACATTTTTGTTTGCTGAACAAATATATGACAAAATGGTCCATTATGCATTCACTAATAATTTTTATAATTTAAATTAAATACACAAGAAGTCAATTAACCTTTTATTTTTTTTAAACTGTTAAAAACACAATATAAAACATTTTAGTACAAAAATCAACATTTAACAACTTGTACTGAATGTTTTTACATGTGTGAAAAGTTTGTACACTACAACATTGCCTAAACATAAAATGACAGGCGAGCTTTCTTCATGCTTTACTAAGTTAGTAAAACCAAGCTAATGTGTCCAACACTTAAACCAGATGAGTACAAAAATATCTAATCTAAATAAACGTTAAACCCCACTCCATTCAAAGTATATAAAGTGTAAAGCACTTTGTCAACAAAGTACACAATTCCAAAAACAGACATGAATAAAAGAATAACTCAGAAGGATGTCCTCCTCTTAACTTGAAGTTTTGTCAAGTCTTTCCCAGTTTTTCTGGCCAACGGGGCATCAGAAACTTTTGAACAGTCACTAGAATTCTCATCCCGAACCTCAAAACATTGTCAGTTCAAACATCCTATAAAGCATCTCAAATCTATGAACACAGTAATATGAAAGTACAGTATGTTTTATTTCACATTTGAACTTTAAATTGCACCTACCTGTGTATTAAATGAAAAAAAAATAAAATAAAATATAGTTAGATATACAGTACTGTAAAACTCAAGACTTCAGTCTTCATCTTCAGTCTGCAAAGTTTGTAACCAATGATGGTTGCAGTGCCTTTTTGCAAAATGGCAGTGTGCAACTATAACAATTTAGACTTCAGGGACTGAACTCTCGCAGAGCATGTGCCACCAAGATCCATGAATACTTTCTGAATCACTTCAAAAGTATATTCATAAGTAAAGTTCTTTTGTTTATTCCATATTTAGTGCATACAAGAAACCGAACAAGTAAGCAAAGGCTGCAGGCAGATCTGGAATATCCTGAAGAACAATGGCTTCCTCCAGGATTATAGCGAGGTTTATCACATTGGGCAGGGATGCAGAAGTGCCAACATCATCTTCCACCACAGTGAGGATTCCAATCCTTACATCTCTGGTGCTGTGATCTTCAGGGTCTGTGTCCTTATAGGAGATTAAGTAATAGAAGGAGAAATCAATTGATGTGTAATATTAATTACTACTTATTGTTATTATTACTATTATTGTTGTTGTTATACAAAGAAAATAGAATACATGTAATACTTAAGTACTCACAGCAACAATTTATAGCTATACACAATGAATAATTTATTAAGCATTAGCAAATAGTGAACTCATTATCTGTTAAGTATTAACTCTACATTAATAGACGTTAGTAAGCGGTTTATAAATACAGCTACAAATGCTGTATTCTTGACTTAAAAGCATCTATAAATGTTATTAATAATTGTTTTCATACTCTGTTAATGATTATTTTTTATTACTAATTTAAGTATTGCATTACTTACAAACCAGTAATTTATAAAGTTTGATTTTTAGATCATTCAAATGGCATTATAAATGATTACTAAACTATTCAAATTAACATGTATATAACTTATAATTAAGGCATATATGAATAGTTACTTTGTATGTTAATAAATGCTTTATTAACTCAACAACTTCATGCAGATTTGTGACCTAATCTAAAAGGAGGACTATTTACGCTTTGCAAATCCATTATAAATGATAATTAAAGGCTCAGCATTAAATGAACAATACACCTTTGCCATCTAAACATACTGTAAATTTAATAAAAACAATTTAACAATATATTGAAAACATGTCAATGTTATTTATTGATGTTTAAACTGTACAGTAATTTAATTTTAAACAGGATAGCAAACACTTTTCTCATTTGAGTTTCATTTGTGTATTGTGAAAGTCGTTCATTGTACTGTTTAGAACATAACTGAACATTTAGTTGTCATTTATAAGGGAAATATACAGCATAAATAGTCCTCACTTTAGGACACAAAACTGGATAAAGTCGAAGGTATTAAAACATTTACAAACATACAAAGTAACTATTATTACATGCCTTAATAGTAAAATATATTAATTTTAATTTCAATAGTTTATTAAATATTTATTATGTATTCTGAATGATCTTAAAAAGACACAAACTATTCTTAAAGATCTGGTTTGCAAATAATGCAATACTTAATTTAATCAAAGTACGAAAACACAATCATTAAGCACTTTATACATGTGCTTATAAGTCAGGAATACAGCATTTGTAGCTATATTTACCTACAGTTTTCTAACATCTATTAAATGTAGAGTTAATGCTCAAAGGGGAAATAAAGCACTCAGTCAAGTTTACCTTATTTTGTACGTTGGATTCCACTTTAATGAAAATATATTAAACTCGTTTAATGTAATTATTTAGATGAAAACGGCATGTTTTACAAAAGATTTTAGACCTAGGGCGCAGCCATCTTGAAATGTTGCTGTGTCTGACGTCACAGGGTTGGTTCTGTTTCCTCAGCTGAACAGATAGAGTGGAAGTACTTGATTGAAAACAGAGACTGGACAGCCTAATTTAACCCAAGGCATGAAGTTGAGGACTTGGAGCTGATGCAAATACAAGCATCAGATGTGTGTATAATATAAAAGTATAAATATTTATTCAATTTTTTGTCCTCTTTTAATTACAGATCATTTAAGGTGCTTTGATTCACTCTTTGAATCAAATTCATTGCTCCTGATTCATTTGCTGCCTGACTGCCTGTCTGAGTTTCACCCATGATTGTAACGGACTGAACACGGAGACTGGACAGCCTAATTTAACCTAATGCATGAAGTTGTGGATGTGCATCAGAGAGCTGCTGCAAATACAACAAATACAAGCATTTAAGTGTCTTGACATAGTCCACAAAGACGTGACTTAGTAAAGCGTGAATTGCAAGAATGATTTTAATCGTTGCTTTAGTCTAAATGTAAATCCCCTCGTCAGGCAGTGCTGGAACAGCTTGAGAAAGTGGACCACAGCGCATCAAAGAAAGGTATTAACAAAAGAAAATTACACAACTTAAGACACTTAAATGCTTGTATTTGGTATATTGCAGCAGCTCTGTGATGCACATCCACAACTTCATGCATTAGGTTAAATTAGGCTGTCCAATCTCTGTGTTCAGTCCGTTACAATCATGACAGACAGGCAGTCAGGCAGCATATTACAGAGAATGAATCAAAGCACCTTAAATGATCGGTAATTAAAAGAGGGGAAAAAAAAAAAAATTATACTTTTATATTAGACACACATCTGATGCTCGTATTTGCATTAGGTCCATGTCCTCAACTTCATGCCATGGGTTAAATTAGGCTGTCCAGTCTCTGTGTTCAGTTAAGTACTTCCACTCTATCTGTTCAGCTGAGGAAACAGAACCAACCCTGTGATGTCAGACACTGCAACATTTCAAGATGGCTGCGTCCTATGTCTAAAATCTTTAGTACAACATGCCGTTTTTTATCATAATGGCTACATTAATATACATATATATATATATATATATATATATATATATATATATATATATATATATATATATATAGATATATATATAGATATATTCATTCATTTATTTTCTCTATATTAATCCGGGGTCGCCACAGCGGAATGAACCGCCAACTTATCCAGCAAGTTTTTACGCAGCGGATGCCCTTGCAGGCACAACCCATCTCTGGGAAACATCCACACACACATATTCACACACACACTGATACACTACGGACAATTTAGCTTACCCAATTCACCTGTACCACATGTCTTTGGGGGAAACTGGAGCACCTGAGGCACTTACATGCAAACTCCACACAGAAACGCCAACTGATCTGAGGCTCGAACCAGCGACATTCTTGCATTCTTGCTTGACTACCTACTGCTCCACTGCTGAGCCTATATTTATATATATATATATATATATATATATATATATATATATATATATATATATATATATATATATATATATATATATTTTTTTTTTTTTTCAATCCAATGACTAAAAATAATGTTCACTTAATTGAGTGCTTTATTTCCCCTTTAAAAGATAACAAATTAACTATTTGCTAATGCTTAATAAAACATTTAGTGTGTAGCTATTATTTTGTTAACAAGCAGACTAATGAAAGCAGAATAGGGTATGAAAATGGGTAACTTACCAGACACATCTTGAGAAAACAAGCAGAATTTTCACGCAGAAAAAGTGGCAATCCCTCAAGAGCTGCTCTTTTTCGATGGGTGACAATATCAGTGACCAAGAAGAAAGTAATTTAAAAGAGTGTATTACAGTCTTATAAGGTCTTGTAAATTTAACAAAGGGATTACAATTGTTTTGCAAGTAAAATTGTACTTTGAGCATGATATTTCATTCATGCTGTTGAAAACCCTGTGGCATTATTTTAAGTGTAAAACATAAAACAATAATTTTTAAATAATTGTGTGGTTTCCATACAAAGGAATTTGATAATGGTTGTGTTATCAAAAATAAAAAATAAATGTAATCCCTTGAACTTTGTTTTGTTTCATGTGACAATTGACCCTTCGCTAAGCCACACCCTAAAACCGCCATCCACCAATTGTGGCTTAGCAACCGTAGCTATGCGCAGGGGCTCTGACAAGAAACAGGTGAACGTGTTGTACATATGGATTGTGCAAATCCTACACCAGGTCTCCTAAAAGTTTGGAGGGGATGGTCGAAATATTTCTCTTTTCAAAACCAAAAACCCAAGAGAAGAAATGCCAGCGTGGATCAAGCTCTGTGAGGGGTGCTAAAGGAGCGGAGTTAAGTTGGTTTTGTTTTGATATTTCTGACATTCAGTAATAGACCGACGGCAATAACTCACACACATCTTACCCTAAATAGATCTAAACTGTTTCCTACAAAAGAACAAAGCAGGTTATGTTTCACAGATGTCTTTTTCTTTTTCTTTTTTTTTTTCCGCTCAATATTATGAGTAATGCTCCGTTTAAGCCTTAGCCATAGTAACGTTAACTTAGTCATACTAATAGCGAATAGGTCATAATGACATGAGTTATTGATCTAGTAAAATATGAATCTGCAACTGCGAATCTGTTGCTAACTTTACTGAACTTTATATTTACATCTATTTCAAGCTACAAATATTTGAAATTACAAATCAACAGAACAAAACCGAGATATGATCACAAACTGAGCACTTGCAATTAATATACTTTATCAGCAGCTGTTTTTCAGTCATTTATAAAGAGCATACAAACACACTGACAGTAATAGGTAACTTACTGTCTATTGTTATGAATCAATGATGCTAATATTCGGCAAAATTCCATCAGTTTTCAGTTTCTGGGTGTTTTTTCTATGAATGAACTATTAAAAATTATATCATGCGTGTTTCCTCGTCGCTTATTAACGCTATATTTCATTGCACAACAATTAATCTATCAGGCTTTTTGGCTAAAATAGAGAAATCAGTTTAATTTGTTAGTATTAGATTATTTGTAAATTTCACCTCCCCTGCTGAGCATAAGCTAAGCTGTTGAATGGTCAGAGTATGAGGCGGCTAGGGTAAGCTAGCTTCAATTTTGATAGAATTATTCTCTAATCAGTTGCCTATTATGTTGTGAACATACCAATATAACACATACTGCAGTCCTTTTTTGTCTGGCTTTCTCAGATATCTCACCATGTTCGCCAAAAATTACATTATATGCCTGGCAATGTCTGACACCAGCGCACACATTGTAAAAGCCGTGTCAAGCACGAAAGCTTGACAGGCGTAGCAACAGTAACTAAGGAGAGCGGGGCTTAGCGAAGAGTCAATTACTTTGAGTTACGTACAATAACGTACAGTTAATATTTTTCTATCTTCGTCTATACATGTATTCATTTGAAATAGTCACTCAAAACAAGTGAAACATCTGTTATTTGTCTTACCTTAACTGTCTTACCTCTGTCACACAGTCAAAACACTACTTGACACAATTTGAGTGAAAGAAAAATTGCTTGAAATTTAAAAAAAATTGTTGTAATTCCGTTTTTTTTTTATTTTTTTTAGATGGTATTGCCTGACCTTGAAATTCCTGCTTTTGTTTGACAGGACAACTATGTTGCACATGTTAAAAACATCACACTGATGAATAAGGAAATAAATCTTAGAGTACCTGATCATCCAGCTTGTCCAAAAGTGTCTTCATCTGTGCACCCAATGAATCCCGTCGTTTTCTGTACAGTTTCAGAAGAGGTGCTGTATATTTATCAATTGACTCTCAGGAGATCTACATTAAAGATTCGAGAAAACTCCATGCAGATCTACAGCATACAAAAAAATACATATTAATATTTACACATAAAAAAATATATAACAATGTAAATTCATAAAAATATTGAACAATTGCAATATAGTGACTTACCTCTTCCTTTAAAAAAAGTCCAGGCCATCGCTCTCTAATTTCTTCCACCAATGGCTGAATCTCAACAACTTCTTTTCGGCGAAGAGAAAAGGTTTCTTGCATTTGCCGGTGAATGACTGTCAAATCCTTTTTTTTTTTCTTCATTTCATTGATCATAGCAAGTCTCACCTCCTCAAGGGAATCTTCAGTGTGGCCTTCAGGATGGTCAGGTAAAAAATTTACCTCTGCTCTTTTAGGCTTTTTCATGTAGGGCCTTTCTACCATACCCTCACAAGATTTTCTTTTACAGTTAACACTCAACTCAGAACAACCAGCCTCCTTCAGTTTGGCCCGATAATTGCCAAGCTTAAACTTAATACTCATCACCCATCCGTCCCAACCTGTGCGTTTGCCGGGTTCTGTAAGGCAAGGGTGTTTCTGTACAAGACAAGACGCAACTGACTGGATCTCATAGGCATCAGGGTAGGCTTTGATATCAAATATGGCCTGCACAATCTTGTCCAGAATCTGGGACTTCATTTCTCTTGAGACATTTAGGGGCTTATTTGTCTGCTGGTAAACCTCATTGGCTTTACGCAGCCTGAGTTCAACATCCAGAGGAAAAGTGGGTATGTTAAATGTGGATGGCCACTTTTCAGCACTTCTAAGGTTTCTTAACACAGATGATTCAGGACTTTGATCCCCACTGTGACAGCTTGGCATGCTTGCTGTATCAAGAGAAGACACTGAATTGGAATCTCCTGCAACACCCTGTGAAGGACATACCTCTTCCCACAAAAGCTTTAACGTTGCCTTCTCTGCTGGCAGCTCATTGATATCATTCAAGTTGCAAAGTTCATTGTTAAAGTCCAGATCTTCAAATTGTATTAGAAAATCTCCATTTTCTAATTGACACTTCTCACTAAGGAAAGACTTCAACTGGTCCACCGACTGAGGTCTTTGAGGCAGCTCCACCCTCCTGATGTTGGTAGGGGAAATGTGAATCTGCAACAACATATTCTCTATAAAACAAATCATCTAAAATCAAAAGGCCATTGCTAGTGCTCAAAGATACACCTATTTTCTATTGTAATCTTTATAGTTGGACCCCCAAAAAAATCATCTGTTCAGATTAAACAATTTTATGTCTGATTAAAGAAGCAGAGAAAACTGTTTACGGTTACTTATAACCTCTAAGGAGTTAAAAACACTTTTGGTGTCACAAGCACTTTCAGACCAACTTTGTATGGACTCAGTGGATGAAAGTCATTCAGCATGTCAGGATCAAGAACATGAATGTCACTGAAACTGCTTTCCTTAATCTCAAATGATCTAAAATGTTCAAGATACCAGGCTGACAGTTTTGTGCAAAGGAATGACACATCTTGGGAGGTCACTACACAGTTCAATATTTTGAAAAATTCTGGCAAACCACTACATTGTCCTGCAGAGATTACCATGCCAGCTTTATATCGAACTCCATGCAAATGAATATCAGAGGAGAGTGAGACTTGACTTGTGTTAGGATACCTTCTCTTAATCACTGTTCTGATTGATGTTTCCAGAGAAGCAATTGTGAAAACATTTGCTTTCTCCACATATACAGTTTGTTTAAAAAGATCGTCACCATCTAGATAATAAGCCATTATTTGTTGATGCTTTGAGGAAAGTGTCAATAGAACATTCTTGAAGTTTTGAGTGTCATGGACTACTTTTTTGAAGTAGCTGTGCTTTGCCTCAAAGCGCATTGTCCAAAGTGACACTAATGGTCCAAAACAACTAATCAAATGCGGGTAATGGTTAATAAAATGATGCTTTGGACGTAGCTAAAAGCAAGGAAAAGTTTCAACCATGCAGTAAATTTTGGTGATCTACAATTTTGCTCTCTAGGTAGCACAGCGCCTCCTCTGAAAGTTTTGATGATAGAACGATCTCAGTAATGTCCTTCAGGTCCATTAGAATCTACCAAGATGGTTCATTTTCAGGGATTATGTGACCAATCATTAGAGGTAGCAAACGTAAAAGTGTCCAATTTTCGTGTGCATTTCCCCCTACAGTACCCTTGGCGAAACATGACTTTGTTAATACCTTTGGCTTGTTAACCCTGTCTGAATCTTTGTACAGGAAAGAATTAATGTAGTTATTGAGCTCATCAAATGAAAATTTTCCTTTTGAAATTAAATCTTTCAGGCACAAAGACAATTCTACAGGTACAACACCTTCCAAAAAATCATGTAATGCATCAGGTGGGAAGCCTGTAACAGGATGAAAGAAAGACAAGTGCTTGCTTAGAACACATTCGCCTTTCACACCACTGACATGTTGCACACTTACATCTGTCTGGACTTTCTGCACAAAGGAATTGTGTTCTTCTGCAGTTCTTAACTTGAAATTACTGATCTCAACCTGGCCAGACTTGAGTTCATGCTTCCTTATCAAACAAAATCTACAGAAATTGTCAGAATTAAAGCTTTCTTGAAAGCCTGCCAAGCTATGGGCTCCTAAATTATCAGCACATACGCAAAAGACTGTTCCGTTTACATACTGACTGAGAGCAGGAACAAAAACACCTGTTTGTTCCAAACACTTCACATCCTTTATCAGTGGATTAAGAAATTTCTCATATCCAAAGAGCCGCACATCATCACTTTTACCAAGGACAGCAAGTTGAATGGAATTAAGACTAGAGCGAAATTTGGGCGGCAAGTTTAGAATCACCCAATAAATAGCAACCATCTTATGAATTTTTCTTGAAGTGCCCAAGGGATTGCACACTTCAAATTCATCCACATACAGTCCCAGAGATATTGCAAGGTCTTTGTCACATAGTAGTCTGTTCTCTTTAAAGTAGGAACC